GCTACTCAAGAATTTCTCAGCATTTTATGGATCCCGAAGGTTCATTATCGTGTTCATAAGAGACCTCCACTGGTCCCTATTCTGAGCCAGATCAATCCATTCCATACATCCCATCCTATCTCTCTAAGATCCATATTAGCACAAACATATCAAAATATATAATACTGATTTAAGAGTAGCCACGAAATATATTACTTTTTTTTCGAGATGAAACTGCTTTACAAGATCGTTTCGCTTTTGCCTTTTGTGGAAAATTTGGGAAGACGTTTGATGAAAAATGAGTATTGATTTAGGACTAACAGCTACACACTTGCTTACTGAAAAATTCGAAATAATTATTCACAGCTAAAATCAGTGCAGTGTAGAGTGATGGTTTGGAGGGTTACAACTCAAACAACTATGTCTTCGAAGAACCATAAGAAGATCTGATAAATAATATACTTTATCCGATAAAATTTTGTTAAAAAGCAGTTTACTGCGTGATTATGAATCCTTTCAAAGAATAATATAAAGGATCTGGAAGCAAAACTCCTCCCGTTTTACACCTCAGCATTACTCGAGACTTAAAAGGGATTTCAGGCTTCTTCAGGCTTCTGAAACTATGTCAGTTTTAAAATAAAATACTCTTAAGTTAATGTATGGATACTAATTATAGATTACACAGGTGATTTCGCTGGATATCAACCTGTTCATGCCACTAGTTATTAGTATATCTAATGAGTAATCAGCACTTTAGCTATAGAATTATGTAATATTCTGATTGCTAAAATTTAAATAAAAAAAATAAAATACCTGTAGTTGAAAGGACGAAATTCTGTATAAAAAAATACGCGGTTTAGATAATAGATTCTATAAATATTTTGACTTATATGGATTTTTTCAATTGACCTAATCCTTCCAGCCGCACTATGGCCCTGTGGTCGACTCAGCCTCTAACAGAAATGAGTACCGGGAATCTTCCTGGGTGGTAAAGTGCGTCCGGTGCGTAAGGCTGACAACCTTACCGCCAATTATGAGCCGATTGTCTAGAGAAAATGTGGGAACCTCAACATCTCACAACCCTATGGGCCGCCACAAACTGTTACAAGGATACCTTTACTTCACTTCTTAAAAAAAACGGTCTTACGAAAGAACTTCTGTATATGCCAGGTTTATGGAAGAAAACGATAAAGGAGTTGCTTAATTTTGTGCGAATAAGGGGGTTTTCTGTTGATTTTGGTTTAACTCTACTACATTGCACTAGAGAAGACGAACGGCATCGTGAATATGAGATACAAGGAGGGAGCTACACTATTTCAGTGTCTGACAGATATTCTGGAAGGAAAAGTTATTTGAGTATTAGAGGATGATCGTACCCACAAACGAGCGGGCGGGCAGTAACTGTAACTCACTGGGTTACGAAGAACGAATGGGAAAATGCGTGTACTTCTGTGAGAGAACACAAGAAAGAGAAAGTGCTCATCTGAGTTTACTGGTGGAAAGCGCCAAGTCCCACATGCACTTCATTATAATAATTATTTTCATATAAATCATTCTTACCTTGAAGCCATTTAAAATACGCATTCTTTATGGACTGCTTTCTCAATATTTACATTTTTTCAATTTCTCTTATGTAAGATTTGAGGTTTACANTTCCTCCCAAACGTCGGTTAACACAATATCTACACGGCGCCACATCCCCAAAAATTGCTTTCTTCTTACTTTATCTTATTTTACTATTTTATTGTTTTATATTGAACACTGAATATTTCATAAACCATCGCCTCGATCCATACGTAGCAGAATTTAAGTACTGGATGACTGATTGTTGGGCTATTTAACGACGCTTCTTCAATTGTATTGGTCATACGACTTCTTACAGAAGGGTTATTAGTGAAGGATAAATTACACAAGGCATAGAAGGAAGTGGTTGGAACACGTACGCTCGTATTTATTTATGTCGGAATTCGACTAAAGGAATTAATAAAGATCACATAGAGGGTCAGTCAGAATAGCGGGCGTAAGTGGCTAGGACGAGCCTGGGACCTCCTGGTTATGAAGCCAGATTGCTGACCAATTACCCGGGAAGTTCGGTAATTTCAGAAGCACAAATAACCCACTTTGCAAATGAGGTCTTTACGATTTTATAGCCCTAATTGGTCTTGAATATTCGTTGATTTTGCAAATGCATAGGACTTTGCACCTGTACTGCTGTTAACCAGTACAGACATCATATTGCATAGTGATCTAAATTCTTATATTTCATTGAATGTACACTTTATTATATACAAATACTGTACGCGAAAGTCACGGATATTACTGATCAGTAGATCAGAAACACCTAGAAAGCTTCGAAATGTGGTGTTGGAGAAGGATGGAGAAGATCAGTTGGACCGATTATGTGAGGATAAAGAAGTGTTATTTAGAGTCAGTGAGCACAGGAATATCCTACAGGAAATAAGAAAACGGAAGGCTAACTGGATGGTCATATCTTACGCAGTAACTGCCTCCTAAAAGAAATTATTGAAGGAAAGATAGAGGGGCGGATAGAAGTGACCAGAAGACGAGGAAGAAAACGTAAGAAGATGCTGGATGACCTTGGGGACAGAAGAGGATATTCTCATTTGAAGGAGAAAGCTCTAGATCGCGTTAAGTGGAGGAACTGTTTTGGAAGAGACCGTGGACCTGTCGTCTGACAGATTACTGATGAATGAATGAATTACTGAAACCCAGTACATAATGTCACATGACGTCCGAAAGCCGGAATAGTGAAGTCAGAATAATTGTTTATTGCTAGGCAACGACTCTGTAAACACATTCCCGTGGCAACGAATACGCAAGCAACAATCATATAACTTCCGTTACTATGTAGCGGCGCTGTAAACACGCCTTCTCAACAATAGAGAATCTGTGTTTTCTGCGTGGTCCGTGCAATGTAGTTATAAAGAAGGGTTCAACTGAGAAGAGTTAGTCAAATTTCGAGACGCCAGACTGCCAAGATATGAGCTTCGGAGCAGCTGCAGATAGAACTGAGGGAGTCGGTAGTCGAAGGCAAGAGGGGAATTAGGCTGTGGAGACTTCATGTGTGATTTGAAGTGACATACTCTTATGAAATCCGTTGCCAGGACACGACTAGTAACGACTGAGAATCCTAGTGCGCGTGTATCGGTGAACCGTAAAGTCTGTAGATCTGCAGTAGCGCTGTATTGCATGTAGTTCCGAGTGGTGTGTATAATGTGGTAATAAATCCAATCATCGAATCAAAACCCGTCTATAAGTCACGCACAAACACCTTAAATCGTAACAGTAATACACAGTTTTCTTGTAGTAGGAACAAGGTTACGTTTGTTTTGGGTTTATGTAAATTGGAAATTATATTGAATAGAATGGATCAATATTAAATTGGACCAGCAATTTCAATGTATGTATTCAACACAAAATTTAATCCTAAGCCTCGAAGATGAAGGGTGAAAACCGGCAGGAAGTCAGAGAGACACGACCCATTAATGTGCATTCCTTTCAACACTTTCATACAAAGAACGAGTAATGTACGTAATTTAATCTACGGTCCATTCTGTATTCATGACTGCTCACGAACTGGTGAGAGTTTCCGATGCTACGTATGAGTCTTGTATCTAAGGATATAAATGATTTTCTTCGTGTTTCTTAAGGGCGATATATAGTGTGACCATATCACGGTCTATGCAGTTTTCAACATTACAAATTTCTTTCTTGAAATTTCATTTTAATAACATTCTCATGAAGCAGATGATTTACATAAGAATTTAAATGCGGAATTTCCTTACGTGCAATGTCTGTAGAGGCTGAGAAGGAGAAACAAGTGAAAGTAATACACCATTGTGAATATGGGGCTTGTAGCACAGAATTGTATTGTGGGACATATCTCAGCCACAATATGACGCATTTTTACGTTCTTAAATACTGCAAAGTCTTAGGAAATCAGAATCTGATGCGACAAAGTCCTTTGTTGCATAAGAACTGAAAATCTATGTATAATGCGATCATATCTGATTCAGGTGCCTAAAACAGGAAGTGTAACAAAGTCTGCTACCCACCACGGAAGGGGCCGGGATAGCGCAATCGGTATACCGACTGGCTACGGGCTGGAATACCGAGGGGTCGGAGTTCGAGCCCCGCTAGGGTCTCCATGTTGTCCAGACTGGCTCTGGGGCCCACCCAGCATTTTATCCGATGGTTTATCGGAGCGTTTTACCCCAGATGTAAAGCGGCCGGGGCGTGAAACTGATCATGACCACTCGCCTGCAACCAGTGGCGAGGTCGAGGAAACATGGATCTATACAACCACTCCCCCATGCGTCTTCATGGCATAGTGTTTAATTGGTTAAGCACATATACAACTTTACCTGACCCATCACAGAGGCCCGGGTTCCGTTCCCAGTCAGGATATATGGGATTTATGATAGAGGAAGTAGAACTGGGATGGATTTTGTTCGAGTACTTCGGTTTCCCCTACCAATTCACATTCCTCCAACAGATTTATATTTATTAACCATCATATAGTTGACCCAGTATAGTCTCGATAATTACAGCGTCGTTAAATAAGCAACTAAAAAAGAAATGTGACGTAACTGTACTGTCACTTTCCCTTAAAATTGTATATCACCTGCAATAAATACATTTATGAGTCTGTGAATTGGGCTACATTCGAGTTAGGTATTGCTGATTAAGTTACGTTTGGTATAGAAGACGTTTCGGCATTAGAATGTTCTCCATTCTTCTGGTGATTCGCTGTCATCGTCTGTCTAGCGATTAGCACAGTACTCTAATATTTTCTGGAAGGTCCAGCTCATGTCACGGTCACTGACAGTATAAAAAAAAACAAAGTAAAGAGGAAGTCTTTGGAGATGGTTCCTAAGGTATAAAAAAAAGAGTAAATTTCCGTCACTGAGAAATTACTATAATATAATAATAGTAATAATTGTATCTATTTTTATCAAAATATCCATGATCAATACGAATTATGAATCTATATATTGCAGGTGTTGCTGTGGGCCGCAGCTGCTGCTATGGTGGTAGCTCTGAAACCGACCGAAGTCCAGATCAAAGACTCAACTCATGTGCCTGGCGGAACCAGAGACAAGAGGACATTAGAAACATTTCCACACCTGGCACGATCGTACGGTACCGCTGATCGCCGAATCTCGACAGGTCCAACTGCAAGCTCCAGAATAGCCATATCAACACATTACTTCGATCGTGGAACACCGCCGATCACGATCCGCCATCAAACGCGCGTGCCAGTCCATCATTCTGGAACGTCGGTACGTCGACAACGTCCCCATTCTGTTCCAGCACCTCCATACGCTGTGCAAATGGAACCATTAGTGCAGTACTCCCAACGCGATCCTCTGTATCATCAGCAACAGAAACAAGCATCGTCCGAAAAAGGGTCTGATCAAGCCAGTTTTAACGGTCTTCAACACACGAAGAAACCATTGGCCACACCTGATATCCCAGTCGATAGTACACACAAGAGCCTACATGTTAGCTCAAATGAGCTGTCTTCTGCAAATGTACTGCCACCGAACAACGAAGAAGGTCCCAGTCATGCTTCTAGGAATGATCACGATCTTGCTGAAAGTAACCAGATTTTACGTCTACCTGACACTTCTGCCGTTCTGGACAATGAACCCCAGGCTGATCACCTCAGTCCTGATCATTTGTACTCCTATGATGAGGGATCTTACTACTTGCGAGAGCCAGAGCCTATTATTGAAATAATAGTGAAGGAGTCAAATGAGTCGCTGCCACCTCCTCCAACGCTACCAAGTCCACCTTCACGTCCTCCTACTAAGGAGCCTGTTCAGGTCTTTTATGTCAAATACAAGAAGGATCCTACTAAATACGGTAAGGAAGGAGGTATTATATATGACCCTCCTGTGCCAGCTGTGACTCCAGCTACTAATAGTGACACCGAAGAACATTACACTCTACCATCTGAAGTCTCCACACATCCAGCAACACCACCGCCACAACCACCACAAACTACAACGCTCAGAACCATCATTCACCCGGATTCAGAGACTTATCATGGCACTGGTCTCCATGTGACATTTGGGGATCCGTATGACGAGGACTCGCACGAGGATTACTCGCAACAGTCTGCCCCACACCCTTCTGTGGTATTTCCTCACCAGAGTTTCAGTCCACGACCCAACTATAGACCTAGTTTTCTTTCTCACGAACACCACAAGAGACAACCAGAAACTTTCCAACAACAACCACTCACCCAATTGCAACACTCCCAGCCACCATTCCATCAACAACAAGCGCCTTTCTCTCCACATCAGTCAACATTTCAAAGGCCGTTTAACTCGCCAACTTTTTATCAGCAAAGACAGCCTCAGTTTCAGCAGCCTCCCCCATTAGCACAACAACTTCCGTTCCCTCACCAGCCTCCTCCATTCAGGCATTTATCTCCATCTCTACCACCACCACCGCTGCAGCAGCAGCAATCGCAAAAACCACAAATTCCACATCAACAACCCTTCCAGCAACCTCCATTCCAGTTTCAACAACGTCCTCTGCAGCATCCAGTTCCTCAAAATCAACGTCCCCATCCTCCACAGATACTGCAATCTCAACAATTTCCTCCTTCTCAACGACCCTCTTTCCAAGATACTCTGCAAAGACCTTCTTTCCAGCCACCCCAAAATGTGCAACAAAGACCAAATTTTGCTCAACCCTCTCCAGCACATGAACAAAGGAAACCCGTACTCTCAGGACAGCCGATTTCAGAATTTATAAACCAACCTGAACAGCTAAGAAACGGTCCACATTCAGCTGCTCTCCAGCAGCAACTCAAAGTTCAGCAACAGCAGCATCATCAACAACCGCATTTACTGCAGCAACAGCTACAGCAACAGGAACGGGAGCAGCAACTTCTGCTGCTTCAGCAACAACAACGACAAAACTTACACCATCATCATCAGTTACCTTTGCAACAACAACAACAACAACAACAGCAACAACAACATTTGTCCACACAGCAATCGCAAAGGCATTCTCAACAGGAAAAACAACAAAATCCTTTCGGTGCAGAAATAGTAAAATCCATTTCACAGCAACTCCATCTTTCTTCAAATGGTCAGTCAAATCAGCAACATTTATTAACTGCAAATAACAGATTGCAGCCTAACTTTCAGCAGCAACCATTACCAACTCAACCCTCATTATTACAACAAACAATACCAAATCAACAACATTTATCCAGTCAACAAATTTCACCTAGCCAGCAGCATCAATCGGGCCTCTCAACACCAGGTGCAAATAACTTCTCCACTCCTCAAAAACTATTTCCATTAGTACCATCAAGCACTAATGCCCCAGCAACATTAACGACATCTAAGAAACAGGAGAGCAACGCGGAAGCAACCGATGGAAAAAATGATGACAAAGATAAGAATACTAGCAATCCAAGTGCATTAGCTGTACTTCCGGAAGAAGTTCCAGATGATTTGCGCCAGCAATTACTGTCTTCCGGAATCCTGAGCAATGCAGACATCCAGATATTAGATTACGATAAAGTTGGAGATATTCCAATTGAGAATTTGCCCCCTGAGGCCCTAGAGAACTTCTACGGGGCTGCAGGTGCTGCAAGTGCACCTGTACCTTCCATCGTCGCCGCTAATGCGTCAGGGGCACCAGTTGAGATGAAAGTTGTCCGATACGATCCTACAACAGCTAAGGGACAGGAAGTAGCACAAAAGTATGTGAGGAAAGATGCAACTCAGGTGGACCCCGTCGCGCTCAACGACTCAAAATATAACCGCTATTTGCCGTTGAAAGTTAGCGGGGCTCAGTTTCCATTACCTGATGTTCCAGAACTGAGAGGTAGAAATGTTACAAGTGTTGTTGTACTTGCTCCGGTGAACTATGAGTTCCAGCAGAAGCATGGAAACCCTACGGACGGCGACACTGACAGATCCAGCCGGGAGGCTCCTATTGAACTGAGAGGAGTACAGTTCGTGGCTGGGGATATTCTTAAGCAACTGGTGAAAGAACCTACCTCAGAAAATTTTAAACGTTGGCTAGACCAGGAGAAGGCAACAGACTCCGATCGACAGTCAATCGTTTTATTGGTCGTTGAGTGAGTCAGATTTTTATACGAATTAAGTTTCTTCAGTAATACATGTAATATATTTTCATAAAAGTTGAGGTTCTCATTGCGGTGACTGCAAAGAGTGTTGTTTTCTGGAATCTGAACAAATGGTCTGGGAGAAGCTTGTCGATATTTCGGAGGAGAATACTACCACTAAATTTAGGGTCAAAGATAAAACGTTCTGCTTGCTGCTTTCTAATTTTCCTCTTCGGCCCTGAAGATGGAGCAGTATATTCCTCCCAAAATTGGTCAACTTCTACCAGACCACATG